GGTGTCTTTTATACAGATAATGTGTTCAAACAGGTGCCATTAATACAGGTAACGAGTGGAGGACAGAAAAGCTTCTTAAAGAAGGCGTTACAGGTCTGTGAGAGCCAGAGATTTTCCTTGTTTGAAGTGACCAAAAACTCTTTTTCCACCCTGATTTACAAATAAATTCTTTAAAAATCCTGCCATGTGAATTCATGGATTTTTTTTCCATATTCTGTCTCTCACAGTTGAAGTGTACCTATGATGTAAATTACTGACCTCTGTCATCATTTTAAGTGGGAGAACTTGCACAATCGGTGGCTGACTAAATACTTTTTTGCCCCACTGTATGTCTCTAAAAGTTCTTTGAATTTGGTCATTCCTAAACAGCATTTTAGTTGAAACTCTGCTCACAAATGGACTCACACTGGCTAAATAAACGAATGAATAAATAAAAAAAACACATTAGTCTTTATATTGTAAACGGCATACCAATAAATTGTTGTAAACATAGTACTGGCAAGTGTAGATAGAAAAAGAAAAAGGGTTATAAACAACCTATGTACTACCGCTACTGGGAGGTGAACCTGCACAAAATTGCATGCCAATCTGACTCCATAACCACTTCACCACTACATCTGATAAAAAGCAAGTGGCGTTACATGTAATTGTGCCATCCAGTGTGTCTTTGTAGATGGGACGTATGGTTTTTCCAGCGGTGTCTCAGTAGAAGTCATTTCAGAAATAATTTGTCAGAAAATTCACAGAATATCCCGATTTGAGAACCAAGACCAGACCCGCTTCAGGGGAGGAGGCCAAATTGAAGCTGAGATGGGAGGAAAATGTGTGAACGAGGCCAAAAATGGCTTTGGTGTATTTCTTATGAGGAAACCTTTACAAAAACTGTTCAATTAACTTCAACTCCGTCCTCAATCTTGCATTTTAGATTATATTAGCTATAACACCCTCTTTGGTTCCAGAATGCTATTAAGTCTGACAACTGGAAGGAATTGGACTGACTCTGATGGAATGGGCGGGGCTGACTCTGGTGCAGCTCCGCCTTTGTGGTTCTGCAGCGAGCACCACTTGTAATTTTTTGGTTCTCCATAACCTGAACGATTTCACTCTGATCAGTACCTATCCTGCCCATCCCATTAAACAATGATTCATCAAAATAATAAAAAGAGGGTTGCAAAGGACATGAAAAATGGTTCAGAAAAAGAAAGTATTCCTGCTGGGGGATAACACAAAGGTGAGGGAATTGGAAAAGGAGTTCAGAAGGAAAGCTAAATTAGCCAAGATAAATTATAAGGACAAGCTGGGGCAGAAATTAACTTCAGGAAACCCAAGGGAAGCATGGCAGAGTTGAAACATAATGATGGGCAGGGCACCCAGACCCACAAAAGTTAACTGTTCCAATTCCACCTCCATCTCTAGTCGTACCTCCAGCGACATTGAGGAGGGTTGATTTTTTATCTCGTCTCCCTCTTTTCTTTGTTTCAAGTTATCCAAGTTCTGTTGAGTTTATGTGTGCGTATGGATGTAATTCATGTCTAAACATAACGTAAAGACTTGGTTGGCTTTGATGTTGCCATGCTGTGGGTTTCTGAAGAACTGAGATGACTAGTTTCATAAAAGTGAAATGCGGATAAATCTGCTGACTGTTAAGATGAATCCAAATGACAATGTCGTGTATTTTTCAATTTCTAGATAGTTAAAATGTTTCAAAAAATTCATACATTGATAAAACATTTCATTTTACATTTCATTTTTACGTTAACAATTAGTTAAGTCCTTTAGTGGTACATTCACATATAGGGTTTGATTACTAACATTTATTAACGTCTTACACCTTTTGTTGTAAGTTTCTCCTTCAACGTATGTCTCGTTTTTATTACCTTCCTTTTGGGAAACATACAAATACATACAAACACATTTCCATTACATTTCACAACCATTGATTACTTTATCACACACCTTTTATACTTTCCTTTGATTTAAATTTTTGTCAGTTCTGGCTACTGATCAATTTTCTCTTCCATTTAAAAAAATTCATTATTTGCTTTCACAAGCTTTCATTTTCTCTTGCATACATTGTAAGCTTGAGTTTACTTTGTTTGTTTCAGCACCTTTTCTGTGTTTACTACATCCACATCTTTCAGTTGACCTTCATTCACATAATCTCCATACACATAGCACATACACTCACCTAAAGGATTATTAGGAACACCTGTTCAACGTCTCCTTAATGCAATTATCTAATCAATCAATTGCTTCAATGCATTTAGGGGTGTGGTCCTAGTCAAGACAATCTCCTGAACTCCAAACTGAAGGTCAGAATGGGAAAGAAATGTGATTTAAGCCATTTTGAGCGTGGCATGGTTGTTGGTGCCAGACGGGCTGGTCTGAGTATTTCACAATCTGCTCAGTTACTGGGATTTTCACCCACAACCATTTCTAAAGTTTACAAAGAATGGTGTGAAGAGGGAAAAACATCCAGTAAATGGCAGTCCTGTGGACGAAAATGCCTTGTTGATGCTAGAGCCTGGTCAGAGGAGAATGCTCCAATAATTTCTAATTGGTTTCTTGAACATGACATTGAGTTCACTGTACTACAATGGCCTCCACAGTCACCAGATTTCAACCTGATAGAGCACCTTTGGGATGTGGTGGAACCGGAGCTTCGTGCCCTGGATGAGATTATTTTTAATCAGAACAACAACGGGCCGCAGGGGTTCCGATGTTGATCTTGGCTCTCTTGCTTCCTTTTTGAAGCAAGTGGTCACTAGCTTGGGGGGGGGGGGGGGGGGGGGGATAGACTCTGGTCTTACTTTGGATGCCCATGTCAACTCCGTCAACTTGCCTTTTCAACATGCAACGCCTGACCAAAATCAAGCCTATGCTGTCAAGAGTCCACCTGGAGCAGGTACTCCATGCATTTGTAATCTCCAGGTTAGATTATTGTAACTCTCTTTATGCTGGGCTTGGTCATTCATCAATTTGTCATCTTTAGATTTTCATCCTTGCATTATTAGAGTAATAGCCTTCAATGTTGTGATGGTATGTCATTTTCTGTCATGTTTGTAAATGTTACTCTACATCGTGAATAATGTGCTGAAGCTTGATTTGAAATGAGATCATCTCCTAAAATCGTTCAGCCCAACCTAAGACTAGAGAAAACGAGGACAAAAATAACTGGAATAAAGCCAACGAGTCACTAAGAGACAAAAATAAAGTTGGGAGTTTATCATCAGTCCCTGGTTTACCCCTCACTGCTGACCCAAATCTTTTATTTTGATAGAACATCAAAGTTAAACTCTCATCAGCACATCTAAATGGCTTTGGTAGCAAAAGTGATTCCTAATTGTTGAAGTCACACCATCACTTTGTTCACGGGCCAGGATGTCCAACACCTCCAAAAACCAATAGAGACCTTTCTCATTGTCAACATAATATTATTTTACTTTACCCAACATGGTCAGGATGGAGCATGCTCTACGGAGGAGACGGCACAAAAAGAAGAGAAACAGACATGAATATCATTAGTTTATTGGACCAGTCAGCATTTAGACTCAATGGAGAGTACGTCATGAGACCCTCCTGATTGACCAGGGTTAGGATTATGTTATGCAGCCCAGGTGTGTGATTCAGGTGCCTGCTGATTTCTGTTACACCTCCATGAATACCTGCTGCATGGCTCCAGATAGTAAAAATAGCCATCGAGGACCTGCTTAAACCTCTCATAGCTGCATGGCCACACCTGCAGAATGAAGAGCTTTTAATACAAATTTTTTTCCTTAACTCAAAGAAGTGGTTAGCTTCATTCGTGGAGAACAGATATATTTGAATGGAATCTCCATTACAAGTGTAAACACCCACAAACACTGGTACAAAGTGGGCATGGGCCCCCGAAGGGGTTACTAGCATAATTGCAAAAACAGTGAGGATTATTTAGAAAGCTCCACTGGTTCAGGATGCAGCAGTGCAGTTAATATTCTCTATAGGGAGAGGTTGAGATAATGGAGGAGTTATCAGCTGTGCCACTAATGACAGGGAGATAAATGCATACATGGAAAAATTTTGACGCAAATGCTAGATACATTATTCATCAGGAGGTGTATGCTACCGCTAAAATCAGCTATGTTGTACATGAAACCATTTGATCAGAGCAACAGCAATGGAGCTCTGTCTAACCCACGTAACAGCTCAAAGAGGGGAGCGGTCTTAGATCCATCTGTAAACACGGATGGTTCAACATATTTGATTTGTTTGTGCTTATGCAGTTTTTTGTTCTGAATGAACACTATATTCTAGTAGGCCCAGTCCCAACTCTTCGTTTTCTATGTTCCTTTACAGCAGCCAGACTGTTCACTTAAAATGGGCCTGTTTATTGTTATAGTGCCTTCTTTGGTTCTACAACCCCCCAAGGCACTTTACAACACAAACAGTCATTCATACACTAATAATGAGCTACATCGTATCCTCAGCTGCCCCGGGGAATGCTGATGGAAGCAAGGCTACCGTACACAGGCACCACCGGCCCCCCCAACCACCAGCAGCTTAAGCGTCTTGCCCAAGAACAAGATTGTGAAGACGAAACTGGAACCTGCAACCCTCCGGTTATGGGACAGGCACTCAACTCCTGTGCCACTGTCACCCCTAATGGTCTGGATCAATGGTTCTCCAGACTTGAGGGATTTTAGTCCAAGTGCCTAAACCTTTCTAGTAGAGTTCATTTAGCTTTGACCCAAACGACAGGCGACTCTGGCTGCTCGGAAGGGAACAGAAACCGATGGAGTTTCTCGTGAGTTCAGTGACTGTAAACACAGAACACCTGTCTGAAAAGTGCAAAATAATTCAGAATCACACATGATAACCCCAACCCTGTCACAAGTTCAGAAAACATGTTATTAAAATGTTAAATGGAACACGGCTCAAGAAGGCAGACAGACAAAGAGGACTAAATCAATGTAGACAGGTGCACACACAGCTTTCTATACGGAGAGACAGACAAAAGTTACCTGTATTGGATGTGAGGATGGGTGAGGAAGGACAGGTGGGTGGTGAACTGGCTCCAGATCCTGCAGGGAAACAGAAAATAAGAATCACTAGAAATTTGAAACTCATCAGTGCCTGAAATTTCTGACATTTGTAGAATAAAAAGTCTTCCTCTGCAACAAATGTGAAGAAACATCAACAGAAGCTCTTGTTCAAGAGGCCACGATCAATGTCAATCAAACTGGGAAGATGGGCTGCTTTCATTTAGCTCCATCCACCAGGAGAACTTCGGAAAACCACTCACTCCTAAACTCGATAGGTTTCACAAAGATAATTAAGAAGAGAAAATCTGCTGTCAGAATTCTTACCAACAGCATTGTTTTTGTTAGCCGATGTCGTTTTAACACAGCGGAATCAAGACGTAAGTTGAAGTGTAAGTGTTGCAGCTATGGAGGTTAACTCATGAAACTCACACGGACTCAAAAGATTCACCGTTTTAGAGCTCGGCGTCAGACGGCCAGTCCATTACATCCGGGTACCGCTCACACACCCATCTTTCGCCAGGAGCTCGCTTTTATTTACTAATGTCTAGGGTTGTCACGGTAACCGGTATAGCGGTAAACCCCGGTAAAAAAGTTGACAATAAAAATAACCGTCCAGTTTTTAAAAAACTAAATTATCTCGGTGGGTTTACTGTGGCCACGGTTTCGGCGCGGTGACCCTTACCAGCCACCGTCGCTTCAGCTGAAGTTCCCGCGGCGCGCACACGCACTTTTTAGTTTGCAACGGCACCAAAACTTTGAAGCTGAAATAATGGCGGAAGGAGGAGACGGCAGCGCCCAGGACATCCATCAGCCCTCAAAGAAGACTAAATCGGAAGTATGGGCATATTTTGGATTTCTGAAAAATGCTGAGGGACAGTTAATAGAAGACTGCTATCCCGTTTGCAGAACGTGCAGGAAACAAGTGTCTGCAGAAGGCAGCAACACTTCGAATCTAATGGCACATCTGCGTGACGATCACCCACGTCTCTACAGCCAGTGCAAGGTAAGTCAACATTAGCATTTTAGCTTAAATGCATGACGTGAGGACTTTTGGTTGAGGGAGAATGCAACGAGTCACTATATACTGCAGCCGCAGCGTCCTCTGCCAGCATTTAAACCGTGTCACGGACACCCTGTTGCTGGATGAAGCATCTTATTTGTTTATGATGAAGAGAAATATACAATTAGTTCCTTGTCATTGATTTGTTTACTTATTCAATGCCATTTATACTTGAACATTTGGATTTGATTACATAGTGTAGTAGTTACTTTAGTAATTTGTTTAAAGTGGCTATTTATTTTAAATACATATTTTTTAAGGTTGACTTGTACAGCGCTCAAGTCAAGTGTGGACTGGAGTTTTAGATTTTCATTTTGATATGAAGAAAACAAGTATATGAGAAAACAAGTGGTGTTTCTTTGATTTGTTTACATATTGTTTATGTTTTGAATGTTTGGATTTGTATAATTTAAACCTGCACTGACTACTGTAACATGTTCCAGAAAAAGAAGCTATTTGTTCCTTTACTTGTGAAAAGTTGCACTTTTGCTAAGACTTTGTGTTATTTTAGGTTTAATAAACACTGTTAAACCTTTTCAAAACTATTTCAGTTTGTGTAGAACAGGACTATCAATGCTTTCTGAACATATGCAACACCGTTTAAAAAATACCGCGATAATACCGAAAACCGTGATAATTTTGGTCACAATAACCGTGAGGTTAAATTTTCATACCGTGACAACCCTACTAATGTCACAGGTCAAAGGTTACACACACACACGTCACTTCCGTTTTTCCATGCCCATAAAAAGAAAAAACCTCACATATACACACAAACACACAACATCAGAACATAACACTTAACACTCCCACTTGTTCTGAGGTTTTGTTGTCCCATTGTCTCTCAGAAGCATTAAAAATCTGGACCAAACATAAAGTGGTTGAACTTGACAAGCTTTTTGCATCAACACTCGTATGCTTGTTAGGTTTGCAGTTGGTGAGAATGAAATTAGTTCATTCATTAGTTCAAAGTTCAGTTTATACATTTTAAAATGAACTAGTTCAGCTCGTAGTTCATAATTAAATAATCTGAACCAAGTCCATATTTCCAAAAATCAACTAGGTAATAGCTCGGTTTTTGTTGCCGTTTCTTGCCTTAGAACACCGTCATTTTCCAATTGTTGTCCCCTGTTCAGTCCACAATCGTACCCAACTGCAGCTTTTACCTCTACAGTATATTCTCAACAACATGAGGAAAAATCAGCTGTCTGAATGGCTTTTAGAAAAAAAGGAATGATTAAACCAGGCTTAGGTAGGAAACAAAGGATGCAAAACATCTAAATGTAATAGATTTTTTCAGGGTTCCTACAGGTTTCATCAAGTTTAAAGTCTTTATATACCTATTTCACAGTGCTACCGGCAAAAAAAAAAAAAATTCTTGAACTTGTGTTCATTTACTGTGGAATGTGTAAAGGATGGCAACAACACAAGCCAATATGAAAAATGAAAGAATATGTCAGCGAGCCACAAGAAAGTCAGACTGTTAACATTTTAATATGATAACATTTTAACATTGGTTATAATGTTTTTTGCTTTAGCTAGCTACTTATTCCATGCTGGGAATACGGGGAGTAGACACTCTTGAACAATAAGCAATGAAAATCAGAACTCAGCGTTAAATTAAATTTCCTAAGAGTTGCATCTGCTGCATCACATTCTCAATAATTGGTTTAGCCTTTTTTTATTTAGGCTACCTTATTTATTCAAAATAGTTGTGGTTGACAAATAAAACTTTTTAAGAGAAATGCAATACAGTGAAGTTAAATACAGTAATGCTACAGCTATTGACATTTTAGTATTAGAATATTCTATCAAATCCTCTGCTGACTAAACCATAAATCAATTAGATAAAAAAAATCTAATGAGTTTGTTTTAAAAATCCCATCACATTATTCCTTTTCAGAAAAGGTGGCTCTTATTAAACTACAAAAAACTGTGTGGAAACTAATCAATACAAAACCTTCAATGTCCTAGAACAGGGGTGTGTGTCCAGAACTGGAGGGCCACTATCCAGCATCTTTGAGTGTTTTCACTGCTCTAACACCGGATAGTAATCAGCTGGGGCCTCATTTACCAAGCTTGCTTACGCACAAAACGGGGTAGGAAAACTGCTTGAGCAACTTTCCACGCAAACTTTGGGATTTATGAAAGAAACCTTAGTGGAAAAACGGGCGCAACTTAAAGTTAACTAAGGACCTTGCTTGCGTACATTTTGGACATGGAGAGCACCTGCAGTGCTGCTGCTGAGAAGGATACAATTATGAATCCCAGCAGCATTATCACTTGTACCGCTTCACGTTCACATAGAACAAGCTCATGCTAGTGGCCAATCAAAGCGCTTTCTCCGCTCCCATGAACATTGCTAAGCTGAGTCCCATTCTATCCCGCTCTGTTCTCCACACCTTCAACTCCTCACGCTTAGACTACTGCAACTCTCTTTTCACGTGGACTTTTGAGTCCACTGATCTCAGGCTCAGGGGGAGAGAGTTCCAGAGTCTGGGGGCAACAGCAGCAGATGACCTATCACCTTTGACCTTTAGCCTGGTGCTGCACAACCAGTAGGCTTTGGTCACTGGACCTCAGGCACCTGCTGGGGGTGTAGGGACCAAGAAGATCACCAATGTATGATGGTGCTTGTCCAAAGCCAACCACTCGATCCGAGCCAAACGCCTCCAGTGATGTTTTTCTGATCCTGGTGAAATCTCAAAGGTAAAGAGGGAAACGAGCCCCAATTCAGGAGAGAATAAGGCTTCTCTTAAAGTTGACTGGCAGCCAGTGAAGCAGGAGGAGAAGCGGGGTGATGTGGGTGTACTTTGACATTTAGTTAGAAGCTGAGCACAGGCATTCTGAACCACCTGCAGAAGGTATAGGGAGGTTTTGCTCAGACACAGCCAGTTTCAGTAGTCTACACATAAGATGAAGGATAATGATCACAAGTTTTTTAGTCCTTCACAAAAACAAACAAAAATAAATAAATAAAGAAAGAAAGAAAGAAAGAAAGAAAGAAAGAAAGAAATAAAAAGACTCAGAAAAGTTTGAATTAATAGCAGTTTCAGTGACAAAAGACTCACTGAAGGTTGGGGTCAGGAAGAATAAAACCAAAGGAAACTTATTTTATTTTTATGTTCAGCACAAGTTTGTCAGTAGCATATTCAGATTCAATGTGGATATGTTTGAGAGCTTGTGTTTTTGTGTAGGTCCGCATTAGGACAGCTTCTTCACTGTCTGGTTTTAAATCTCTTTTGAAAACCAAATTTTTATGATTTGGCTTTTAAATCAGCATGAGTCTTTTTAGTGTTAGTTCTTAAGCTTTAGTTTTGATGCATTTTGATGTTGTGTATTGTTTTATGTTTTAATTTCTGTGAAGCACTTTGGTCGGTTATTTACTGTTGTAAGGTGCTATACAAATAAAGCTGCCTTGCCTTGTGATCTGCCTCCAAACAAACCTTGTTTAATTGCTATGTTTTAAACACTTACTTCACTTCTACAGAAGTGCCATGTAAATCCAGCTGTGACCTACCAGAGTTGTTGTTTCGGACAGAAATGTCTTCTTCATTCTCATAAGTTGACTGTCTGGATTTCTGCAAAAACAAAAACTCTGATTTTTTCACATGGACATCTGTAGTTTCTAACAGAGGTAGACATATTTTGGCTGCCATGAGTCAATATGAAGCCTGTTTGTGCTGACTCACCTTCCTTGCCAGGATCGTCCTCCTCTTCCTCTCTTCTTCTGAGCCATAGTGAGACTGAGCTCGAGTCAGCCGCCGGTGCTGATGGAGCTGAAATCAGACATAATTCACAACTTTATTTTCTACATAAGACAACTTTTTAATTTTACTCTCTGAACAAGGGGGAGTCGCTTGGAAGGCTCACTTTTATTCATAAGTCTTTCAGCAATACGGTTATTTCTAGCCTCTCCTCAAGTGTGTTTCCCTTGGCATTTAAGAATGCAGTTGATCAATTGCTGTTAAAGAACTCTGGCCTGGATCAGTCTTTTTGTGACAATTTTCAACTGATTTCCAGACTCCCATTCATCTCGAAAGTCATCGAAAAGATGGTTCTTACTCAGCTCAGAACAGCTCAGGTACAAACACATTAAGGGGTCATGTGACTGAAACCAACAGACTGGGCAGTCCTAGGATTGTCATTCAAGAGTTCAAAAGCAAAAGGGAATAAACTGTTCTTGTGGTGAGAGGTTCTGGTCCGAATAGATCTCAGCCTCCTGCCAGATGAGAGCTAGTCAAAGAGACTGTGTCCAGGATGACACGGGTCATTAAAGCAAATGTTCCATCTTTATTGTCTTCAGTATCCCAGAGGAACTTAGCAGTTGCCAAACTTACACAGAATCATAGCTCTGAACCATCTATTCCCCTAGCCCTCAGCAGCAACAACTTTATGGGACTTTTCACGAGTAAAATTAATTCTAATAGAAACAAAATCATTAGCATCCTCCCTAATGCGATTTCTTCTTCCTCAATAAGTGAGGCAGCATCAGAGGTAACTGTAGAACCTCATCTGTGTTTGAACAGTTTTGATCCAGTTGAGCTTTCAGAGTTATTAAAAATTGCATACCCCTACTGCAGACCCAGAGATAGATGTACGCTGATATTTCCCACTAGAGAGCTCGAGGGAAGAAGCAACTGAGAAAGGAAAATGCATGTGTAAAAGCAAAAACTGTGTATGAGTGTTTGTAATGAGGAAATAACAATCTAACATAGTCACAAGCTTCAAAAGTGGATTTAGAGTGATGCCAGACCTTTACATGTTGTCATATTAACTTTCTGGGTAGATTTCTCTTTATTGACTGTGGAACCCTGTTTATTCTCCAACCCTCTTCCCGTCCCTTCCAAAATCATTAGCATCCATTCATATATCTCACTGGGCAATGTCTGACGTTTCCCACCCCATATTCAATTTAAGAGTTACATAGAACCCCCAGAAACAAATCCACATTAGAACCATTACATGAGCAGGAATATACAACAATATTATTTGTAACAAGTGGGAAAAAAGTTTGGTGAGACCATGGAGCAAGACGTCTGTGTGGCTTTGGGGACATTTTAGTTCACCATCCGGTGCTTCAGAAGGTGAAAGCATTGTGCTACCAACACTGTTTACAGACCAGAGCAGTGGTACTAATGTGTGAACATTGACATCTGTATTTACTACTGTTGTTCATTAATGTGCTTGTCCCTGTACAAATATATTGTAGAGTCTGAAGTTAGAAACAGAACCTGATTCATTACAACAGTAACAGATTCCTCAGAAAACTTCCCCCAGTAAAAACCACCTGTCTTTGTTCTTCATGCAGCCTCTTTTCAAATCTTCCTTTTGCCAACTTCAGCACCTCCTTCAGCCTGTTTGGAACCTGGTGAAGAAGGAGGGTTTGTATCATTTACATCAATATTGATGATAATGGACAAATATTCAGATGTTGCATCGAGCCAATCTTTCACCTTTATATGCAATTTCTCAGAATGTTTGAGCTGGACATCACTGAAAAGCCTGCAAGACAAAACAACACCGCAAAACACAAATAGAAGATGACTCCTTATCGTGACAATTTGTTGTTTTTATGTTCATTTTAAGTAGGTTTCTTTCAAAGAACATCATTTATTAACTTCAATTAAATTCAAGTGTATTTACATAGCGCCAAATCACGACAAGACGTCTCAAGGCACTTTACAAAGTAAACATTCCACTCTACTAATTTCTTCTACAATTTGCTCTTTAACTGCATTATTTCCTGCTATTTCAGCTGTTAACTTTACATTTTACATGAAGAAAAAATAAAGTAAAGTAAAATTTTATTATCAGGAGAGGGAGAATGTTTAAGTGGTTAGCAGCAGTGTGCTAGCCGATGGCCCCCTCCATGAGGCTACCACAGCACAGCAGAACATCATTGTAGCTTCTTCTGGGGAGAAAAACACTTAGAGAATAAATAAACAGCTGAAATAGCAGGAAATAATGCAGTTAAAGAGCAAATTGTAGAAGAAAGTACTTGAGTGTGGAAAGTGGTCAGTGTGTCCTCCAGCAGTCTAAGCCTAGAACTACAGAGATAACTCTGGATAACCTAGCCTTTTAGATAGAGGCATGTTGGAGGCAGGGCAAGGGAGTAGAGCCCTGCACTGAAGCCCTAGGCCCTCGGGTCGGCCCGGCCCGACGGCCGGGCTTCGGGCCAACGACTGTGCAATTACCTCGGACACGGGCCGGGCGCCTTTATTTTTAATCGAAATCATTTAAAAAATTAAAACACTTAAACGCAGCAGTAGAGCCCTGCGCGGGACTGTTTTCTTCATCCCGCTCCTGCCCGCTCCCGCTGAATTTCTGACCATTACCGCCTGCAACCGCAACATGTGTGTGTTACACTCCCGCTCGCACCTGCAGCATGCATGTCTACTCCCGCCCGCAACCGCAAAACTCGGAGAAATTATTACCTCACAATAAAAGAGATGTATTGAGTTTGTGTCCTCAACATGTCATTTTATAGGTTATCCGCTTTCACCGCAGCGCTGCGCTCAGTTTCAATCAGGATGTACAGCAGGATTTCCCCTCGTAGCGATATTTTCTCTAACTCTGATTGCTTCATGCTATAGATCGTTGGAAAGCTGCTTTTATGTACTTTTAGGAACAGTTGGAATTATTTGAATCTGATCAGCCATTCAAAAGTTATAAAACGGAGCATTTTGGATGACAAACTCGCACGTCTCTGAATCTGTGTTGAGATTCGTTACGCTCAGGACAGGGAATCCCGGTGGCTACCGTAATGTACTGTATGCGCACGGAAAGCCCCATTTTTTATCTTTTCAGCACTTTTGGAATTTTAATGATATCTTGAACTAGAGCAGGGATCGGCAACCCGCGGCTCTTCCATCCATCTGATGCGGCTCTCTGTGCTTGTAAAATAATGAATGGATATTTAAATAAAATGCTTTATATTTTACTGAATTAATTTTACATCTGTAAGTCAATTCTATGTGAAGATTGTCTGCGTAAACCTGAACAGTTCCAACCCAGTCTTACTGTGAGACCAGGTTGGGTCACGCTTGTGCGTAATCATATGCGCTTATGAGCTGAAGAGGATGTGAGATTCTGGGCTTCTCCTCAGACGGCTCCTGGATGTGTCGCCACATTGGAGACAGGAACAAATACTATTCAGCCAAAGTTTCATAATCAGGGAACATTTTCTAAGTGACAAGTCTCTCTGAGCGACAGGGTTTGGAAAACACTCGCTTCAGTGGGAGGAAGCTTCCCGCATGCGCTTCTGCGACGCTCGGATCCTGCACGTCTTTTAACACATTGGTCAGGATTGACGCACTTTGTTTTCATTTAGCTGGTTAAAAAAAGTCGGGCTTGGGCTCGGGCCGGGCCAGAGAATCCTGAAAACCTTTTCGGCCCGGGTTGGGCTGGGGCTCCACCCCCTCGGGCCGGGCCGGACACAGGCTCAGATTTTAGGCCCGTGCAGGGCTCTACAAGGGAGATCCGTCTTTACCGAATGTACACTCCACCTCCCTCTACTCCCCCACTTGTCCAGATTTGGGCTAACATCAGATTTTAACCATAGGCCCTATCAAATAAAAATGTTTTAAGCCTAGTCTTAAAAGTAGACAAGGTGTGTGCCTCACGGACTAAAGCTGGGCGCTGGTTCCACAAGAGAGGAGCCTGATAGCTAAAAGATCTGCCTCCCATCCTATTTTTGGATATTCTGGGAACCACCAGTAAACCTGCAGTCTGAGAGCGAAGTGCTCGGTTAGGAACAAATGGAACAATCTGGTCACTGATGTATGGTGGAGCTTGATTAATAAAGGCATTATTTGTAAGAAGGAGTATCTTAAAATCTATTCTGAATTTAACAGGCAGCCAGTGTAGGGAATCCAAGACAGGAGAGATATGATCTCTCTTTTTAATTCTCATCAGAACTCTAGCTGCAGCATTTTGGACAAGCTGAAGACTTTTAACTACATTCTGTGGACTTTTTGAGAGTAATGGATTACAGTAATCCAGTCTTGATGTAATAAATGCATGAACTAGTTTTTCAACATCACTCCTGGAAAGGATGCTTCTAATATTAGCAATTTTCCAAAGGTGGAAATAGGAAATCCTACAAACCCGTTTAACATGGGATTTGAAAGACATGCCCTGGTCGAAGATAACACCAAGGTTCCTTACTTTGTTCTTGGAGACTAATTTAATGCTGTTCAGGTCCGGTGATTGAATAAGCAATTTCCTTTTCTGAATTTGGGTCTAAAGATGAGAACTTCAGTCTTGTCTTGATTTAAAAGCTGAACGTTTCGAGTCATCCAATTTTTTATGTCTTTAAAACAAGCCTGTAATCTACCCAACTGATTAGGTTCATCGGGGTTAATGGATAAATATAACTGAGTATCGTCAGCATAACAGTGGAAGTTTATCCCATGCTGTCTAATGATTTTACCAATTGGAAGCATATATATAGTAAAAATAATTGTACAACAATTCCAAGCACTGAACCCTGTGGTACTCCACAGGTAACCCTGGAGTATAAAGAAGATTTGTCATGTACATTTTATTGAATACCAGCTGATGTGGATACTTCTATTTCTTTGAAAGTCAAACCCAAACATTACATTTTCAAACAAGACTGTTCCCCTTTCTACTGATTTGCCAGATTTTGATGACTACCACCACACTAATACAATGATCTGAAGTGTGTGCACATGAGTGCATGTGTAAAAAGAGAACTCACGGTGTCTGCATGAGTGCTGAAACTGTTGGTATCCCACTCTTACAGGCGTCCGTGGACAGGATGGACTGCAGCACCGACACTGATCAACAAAAGAACACTTTTAAACATCTGGAACAGTGAAAAGAGCACAAAATGCACAGATTTGATGTTTTGAATTAGTCGTTTTAGAGTAAACTGACCCACTGAGGTGTGGGGGGTGGACGGGTAATGATCAATAGGAACGCTGTCTGGCAGTCGACCGTACGTCATCTCATACAGCAAATATCCAAAGCTAAAGACATCGATGCTCTCTGTGGTCTGCAGATTAAAAAAAAAAGCCTAGTGAGAGGACCTAAGAAACCTGCAGGTTGGATGTTCTGTTCTGAGTAAAAACATTTACTTTGAGATTTTAAAATTTTGTACTGAATTTCTGTGTGATTTGACAAGGTTCCATCTGAGGGGTAAAATCTAACCACAAAATTATTCAAAGCTCAAGGAGCTCCAGTAGCCGTTTCATGTCACTGATGTTAGACTGCAAAGTCCTAAATCGAACATCTAATAACCTGTCATTAAATTACTCTGTCACTCTGGTGTGTGTGTGTGTGGGTTAGGGTATAATATATAACAGGCTGCTCATGTAAGGTCTGCTTAGCAGTGGCTTCTGACGACAGCTTAGTTGTTAGACCACGGAGCAATACTTCCGTATGGCTTCAAAGACATTCTGGTCCACCATCCGGCAGTGAACAACCAACACTGTTTATAGTAGGGATGGTGTGCTGCTGACCTCAACATGGGACGTTGTGGATCAGTGGGGGGAGTACTCCGAAAACCTCCTCAATTCTACCAGCATGTCTTCCAGTGAGGAAGCGGAGTCCTGGTCCCCATTTATAAACGGGGACCGCAGAGTTTCTTCACACACCTGGGATCACACTCCTGAGCCTCCCTGGTAAAGTATATTCAGGGGTCCTGGAAAGGAGGGTCTGTTGGAATGTCAAACCTCAGATTCAGGAGGAGCAATGTGGTTTTTGTCCTGGCCGTGGAACACTGGACAAGCTCTATACCCTTAGGAGGGTCCTGTAGGGTAAGTGGGAGTTTGTCCAAACAATCGACATGTGTTTTGTAGATTTACAGAAGGTGTTCGACCACGTCCCTTGGGAGGCCCTGTGGGATGTAGTCCAGGAGTATGGGGTACCAGGCCTTCTGATACAGGCTGTTAGGTACCTGTATGACCGGTATCAGAGGTTGGTCTGCATTGCCGGCAATAAGTCAGGCTTGTATCCAGTGAGAGTTGGACTGCGCCAAGGCTGCCCTTTGTCACCGATTCTGTTCATAACTTGACAGGGTTTCTAGGTGCAGCTAAGGTGTTGAGGGCATCCATTTTGGTGGCCTAAGGATCGGGTCATCTGTTCCAGCTTTCACTGGATCGGTTTGGAGCCGAGTGTGAAGCAGCTGGGATGAGAATCAGTTCCTCTAAATCAGAGACCACGTGTAATGGCTGATTGTGAGGACCTGAACAGAACACCGAACACAATGAAAAACGTTTCAGATTTTTATTAAAATCCGTAAGTAGTTGAGGCAGGGATATAAGAGCTGGTGGCTAAGGGATATTACCCAATGGTTGATACGAGTGGTTGTGCAGGAGGATGGTTGGTCAGAGGACAGGCCAGGGTCAGAACCAGGAAGACAACGAGCAGAATAATCCAAAATGAAGCAGGCTGAAGCAGGAGTCAGGAGACAGGTCCAGGGTCAAAATTAAGGAATCAAAGGTGGGCAAAGGTATCCAGATGGGGTGAGGCAAGAGGGGAAATCCAAGGAGCAAAAACGTGATCAGGAACAAGGAGTCAGGCTTGAGAGGAATGCTCGAAATTTACTCACACGAGGCTTTCTATAATCTGCCAGGGAGTTGGTGGTTGGCTTGGGTATACATATAGCAGGTGAAACAGGTGAGTAGCATGAGCTTGATTACTGGGAGCAAGCGTGGCAGATGAGTCTAAGGAGAGCAGGCTGTGGTTGTCATGGAGATGAGGGCGGACAGAGCTGGATCATGACATCATGGTCTTGAGTCAGAAAAGGGTAGAATGCCTTCTCCATGTCAGTGATGAGGTCTTGCCGCAAGTGGAGGGGTTTAAGTATCTCGGGGTCTTGTTCACGAGTGAGGGAAAGATGGAGCGCAAGATCGATAGGCGGATTGGTGCTGCGTCTGCAGTGATGTGGGCGTTGTACCGATCTGTTGTGGTGAAGACAGACTTGAGCCAGAAGGTGAAGCTCTTGATTTAGCGGTCAATCTACGTTCCTACCCTCACCTGTGGTAATGAGCTTTGGGTAGTGACAGGAAGAACCATACCATATTTATTTATAAAAGCACATTTAACAACAGCGTGTCAGCTGACCAAAGTGCTGCACAGGGTAAAAACTTAGACACAAAAATACAGCATTAAAATTATATTTCATACAGAGAGTGCATGTTTAACAGTAAAAGAACTGATAAAATCTAAAATAAGACTTTAAGACCATAAATAACTAAAATGCTTATAAGGACACACTCATTGACCAAAAGCTAGATGAAAGAAATGGGTCTTTAGGCTAGATTGTATTGCACTAGTGAAGGAGACTGGCGAACTGATAAGAGAGTGCATTCCACAGTTTTGGTGCAGGGTTAGGGTGTAAGTGAAATTACGCTGCCACCGAGCTTCGTCCGGCTCTTGGAGAGTACAGATGCTTTTTCTCCTCTCTCTCTCCCTCCTCCTCCCAAGGCTCTTTGTCCTGTCCTGTCTTTGTGTGCACGGGTGCTTTCTGCATTTTTTCTGGAAACTGGAAATTATTAAACATGGATCTGGTCAGTTGGTCTCTCAACGCGATTGACAAAATTTTTTCAACGATGAGAACGGGAGAAGGTGCTCCCGGATGCCCCTCTGGGACAGAGCCAGCTGGGTATATCATGGACTCCTGGAAACAGTGGAACCTGATCTGCCTCTCTCAACTGTCTGTAGAGGATTCTGAAGATGTCTGGATATTCGTCGTTTTGGTGTCGGGATTCCTGCTGTTAGGCCTGAGCGGTTACCTGGCTTACCGGAAAATTAACGAGCTTTCGAGGAATAATGGCTTAATCCCGGAGCTCAGGGAAGGAATGCATCGCGCTGTAAACTCACAAACTCATAATTGTCGAGATGAGTCGTAAGCTTGGAACTTTGGCTGAGATTCAGGCTCTGGCACAGGTGGATTCGATCAAGTAGCGAGTTGACGGATCAGCACGGATCGGAATAGATTAATAACGCCATTATTGGACCTGGAGGGGTTGAAGACCAACAGAACTCTAAGGCAGAGAGGAAATTATCTCTGTCTGCACCCAAAACAATTCTTATCTGAATCTGGTGCCCTTAAAGCCTGAGAGGCTGAAGTGAAAACTCCCCCCTCAGAAGAAATGTGGAATGCTGCCGTCGCTATGGAAACTCTTTCTCCCCATCTCAGCCTGGGCGGGACTGTGACCGGTGAAGGCCGTGGAACCGTATCTAGGAGTCAATGTGCTCTCTAACTCATTATTTCCCTCACCAGTCCAAACGGAGGTGAAGAGCGCTGCTCCATGTGGCTGCACGCACTGAAGTGAGGAGAGTCCCAACCCTACCTCCCCACCTAGTGGACACTTATGCACACAGACGATACACAACATATCTGTCTGAGGTGTTTTTTTGTATAGCAAAGCTATCCTCTCTGTCGGGGATAACTCTGAAGTGCCTTTTTTCCCCTCCCCCTGACTATCCTCGTATAAACCCTCTTGATCTATAATGGTAGCGTGACCTGTGTTACGAATGACCACAGTCACCAATTCTAGTCATGTGTCTATGTATGTATGTATGCCTGATCTCAGAATTGTGTGTACTGAAACAATTGAATTTCCCTCTGGGATGAATAAAGTATTTATGAATTAAATTTAATTGAATTATAGCTCATTTTAGGGACACAGGGGAGTTGTTGATCAGCAGACCTCAGTGACCTGGAGGGGGTGTATGGTGAGAGCACCTCTGTCAGGTAGAGGGGAGCAAGACCATACAGAGCTTTAAAAGCAAACATTACAATTTTAAACCGCACCCAGTAGTGCACAGGGAGCCAGTGTAGGTCAGCTAGAACAGGTGTGATATGACAGCGTCTGCTTGACTTTGTAAGAAACCTTGCTGCAGCATTTTGGACTTTCTGCAAGCGGCCGAGGGTGGACGCATTTACACCAATGAGAACAGAGTTTGCATAATCAAGTCTAGAGGAGATTAATGCATGAATGACAGATTCCAGGTGCTGTTGTTTGAGAATAGGTTTTAGACAGGTTATGCGACAGAGCTGGGGAAAAAAAAGGATCCAACGGTAGCATTAACATGCACAGATATTGTCAGGTTGGCATCTACCTTAAATGAAGGAGATTGCGGATACAAACGGCCAAATTGAGTTTTCTCAGAAGGGTGGCTGGGCTACCCCGTAGAGATAAGGTGAGAATGTCTGTCATTGGGAGGGGCTCAGAGTAGATCTGCTGCTCCTCCACATTGAGAAACAGTTGGAATGCTAAGATGACTCCATTAGTCTCTGCCTAGCTCAAATGTTTTTGAGGCCTACCACATTCAGCTTGTTTGACTTTCCATTTTTAAATGTGACCCAAACAGTCGAGGATCATAACTCATATCAGCAGATTTTATTTTCCAAGTCTAGTTTATCTAAACAAGTTCACCTACATTGATCTTCCTGAGCTGGATGAAAACTGGTCGCAGCATTGAAGGAATTCCCAGGATCCCGTTCTCTACGTCCACCAGCCGACAGACGTCATCATCCACAATAATGTTAGCAGCGTGCAGATGACCAAAGAATATGCTGCTGTCATGTAGGAGTTTCAGGCCCTGACCGAGCACACGCACACACGCACGCACACACACACACACACACACACACACACAACATATAAACCATAACTTTAACTGTCAAAGGTCACTGTTGAATAAACCTGGTACCCCTTTGTATGGTACCCATGAAGTAGCTCTAAGCTTCACAGAGGATGGCAACCCTGCTCTTCGTACTTCAGTTTTGGAGCACTTGCTGCATCAGTTTGGATGACATGCACTTTTTGTGTTAGGTGTCTGTACCTCCAGGATCTGACGGCCGTATAGTTTGATCTGTGCCAGTTCGAGGCCTTGACTCTTCCTGGGGCAGGAGTATTTCTTCAGGTAGGTCTCTTTAGGCTTCACCTGGATAGGAGAGACCTCACCATGATTAGCCGCTGTATTCCAACACATCTGCAGTGGTCTCTACTATAAATTTACGCCCTCTGAGGTGAAAATGGTGCACCTGTTTCAGGAAGTAGAATTTTGTCACAGCAGAGGTAAGCAGAACACAATAGGATCTGGAGTCTTCCTGATATTTTGACATTTCTCCTCTGATTGGCTAACAGTGACATTACTCAACTGACTGCTCTGCAACGTTGATATTTTATCTCCACAAATAACACAAGGCTGAAGGAATGTTGCTGTGTGGTGGAGTTGCCAATGCTAATGGTTATCAGAGACGCTCTGTTTCCTAGACGCTAAACCAACAACAGCCTTCCCCATCCATGAATGTTAAGAGACAGTGTGACATAGATCTGTCAAGCTAATGCATAAGTGTAGGAGACAATTTCTTTAGGATATTGATAGCTTAATTTTTTATTGAACCAGTGTCCTGGGACAATGAAATGCAGTGTCAGTACAACCATTGCATGATCTGACTTACAACACACGTAGACAGGAAAACGGTTTACTCAGGGCATGCAACAATAATAGGTGTGATGTCTGGGTTTATAAAATCATTTTGGCTGTTTGTTTAAAGGAGACATAACATGCTTTTAAGTTATTCCTTTTTACATCTAAATCCTTCAGTTGGGGTCTAAATACAGTGGAACTGCAGTTCTTTGGTCTGATTTCCTCATTATTGTTGCTCTACAGACCCTCATCTACCCCTGTTCTGAGGAGAGTCTTGAGAACGAGCCGTTTTTGGGTACTGTCTCTTTAAACTGGAGGAGGAGCTGTAAACTCCGCCCCCCTCTATAGTGCAGACCTGTACTCTCCTCCCCCAGTCGGACTTTGTAGTTCTATAGAGAAATTATTTAGCATAGCAGATTTAGCATAGCATATTAGCATTTTTAAAACATGTGGGGAGGGTAGTTCATCAAGCTGTTTCAAGGCTGCTAACTCTCTCATGCATTTGTCTGTAGTCACTCACACACACCCGTCACGGCCGACGGAGGGACAAGCTAGCAGGCACGTGCGCGCGCACACACACACACACAAGGGATGCTGCTTGCTTATTTATTTCTATAAAAAATGTTTTAAAAAATGATACAGCTCATTAAAACACCATTAAAAGAATACATTTTTTAAAGATCTCTATCTATATATATATACATACATATAATTATAAATAATTTTATAAGTAGTCTTATTTAATATTGGGTGTCTTAATGGCTGAAAATGGATAAAAAGCAGTTACATTTTAATTTAAAGATTTGAGATTCGAGTCAAAAATAAAGAACATTCCTCCAAATGTTCTTTAATGTGATCATTATAATTCTAATGCTTACAACTTTGTTTTTATTGTCTGCAATGCGTAGCCTATATCTTTATTAAATGTGTTTAGCTGTAAAGTGGTAATTCTCTCTAATGTGTACAGAGAGGTGGACATCAGTGCTGCAGTGAAATTCCCAAGATCAGTCTGCTTTGCTAACAAATATAGTTAAATCTTACCTGCATTCTAAATAAATACCGTTAGGTGAAAACATCAGTAGGCATTGAGTTATTGATAAAATCCCTAACAGCCAGAATGGAAGAAGAGCATGCTGGGTCATCCTGGACCTGAGCCTGTTCTGTGTATTTACCTACAGGATGCAATAAATGTCTACAAGGCTGAGTTTGGACCATTACATCTAAAAGAAAACATACAATCAGTGATTTTTTTTAAATTGTTTACATTAATATACAAATTTTCTAAGTATTAACCTCACAGCAAATAAGTAGAACAATATAATAAACAGGTTTTAGTAGTTAAACAGGCTTTAGTAGTTAAACAGGCTTTGTGCACACAGGTAATTTGTGTCTCGGTGCTGGTGGTGTCTAGGTCTCAGAGTTCCTGTCCTCCTGCCGTCTTCTGTTGTCCTCAGGATACGGATTGATGTTTCCTGATGATGAGGGAGGGGCAGTATGTGGGCTTCAAACTGGTCCTGGATAACAGTGGGAGACCTCCGTTGTCTGAATACTGAGACCAGAGAGTTGGTGAGATGCAGATCTTCTCTACCTCATCTAGAAACGGAGTTGGTTCAGGGAAAACTTTTCCAAAGACCAGTTCCATGATGTCATCGTCATATTCTGCAATGATAGACAATAACTTTAATGACATATTTTGTTTACAAGCAGCTTTAGGAAAGTCGTTTCTTTAGCTTTCATGTTTATAGTCACGTTTGTGTTTGTTCACAAGTTCACTTTGCTGCAGTGACTTCATATTCTTACAAATGTAATAAAATAGTGACACTAAAATTATACAAATGATTCCTTATGAAAGGAAGCTCATTAGAGAGCAGTGCAGACAGACTTACTACTCTATTAAATCCACTGTGTTGACGCACTTTAATGACTTTGTCACGCTGCATTTTAGCTGATATGGGACTTTATTTACTGGATGCTAAGATTACATCACACTCACGTAGAATAACACACAGGCTCTCTGCTGTTACAATCAGTGGGAGGTTATCATCTGGTGTAAAAGAAGGCGTTGATCAGAAATCACGTTTTATTCCACGAAAATCAGCCAAATCCGCATTAATCTGGGTGCTAACTTTACTAGCATACTGTGCTAGCGATAGCAAGCCGGATGCTAACGCTTTAGTGCTGCTAATGCCCGTAAATCTAAAGTAAAGTTTGTCGACATTTTAGAGTGATATGAAGCTTACCGCTCTGCTGCTGTGTCCCGGTGCTGCCACATTCAGATAAAAATGACTCCTTTTAGATAGATGAAGCCCTCAGTACTTACTAGCCTGAAGACACGAAAGAACGAACCGCGCGCGCACACACACACACACACAAGCACAAACACAAACACACTACTTTTTCTTCTGTGTTTTTTTAGCAGTAGTGTCATCAGCTCCTGGGTTTAAATACTGCCACACCACCCTTCCTTAAAACGAGGAACAGTTTTGAGCTGTGTGTGGCTAAAATAACCAGACATTCTGCATTTTTCCAATAGGACTACAAAAAATCTTAGCGAGAAGAAAAAATGGCGGATTGGCTCTGTGTTTAGCCGAGGGCCATTACCATATTTGGTAGTTATCCTCACTAAATTAATTACTGATGTAATAGATTATGTAAAAACTGAACGGGTGGACAAATATGCCCAAAACTTAATTATTAAATATCTAAATAGCAACTCCAGTGAATAATATAAGCCTTTTTGCTCACTTAGACACTTAAAATGTGAAACACACTGTGTTAATGGATAAAAAAGTGGGTTTTTCATGTTATGTCTCCTTTAATGTGGTTTAACAAGTTCTCAAATTAATATTAACTCATCAAACGCCAGTGCAGAATTACGGTATCCCGTGTGTATGGAGGCCTCTTGGCGATCCAGTAGTGTCCTGACCAATCACATCCTAATTACTGAAGATTACAATAACAGCTTACAGCCTTTGTGTATTTACCTATATTACTTCTTCCTATTCTCCAAGTGTATGTGCTGCCCTAATAAGTGAATTTCCCCACTTTGAGATCAATACACTCTATTCTATTCTAAAGTCATCTAAATGGTTCTTTATTTTGTTGTGTCCTTGGGCAAGACACTTAACCCACCTCGCCTGCTGGTGGTGGTCGGAAGGACCGGTGGGCCCAGTGCTCGGCAGCCTAGTCTCTGTCAGTGCACCCCAGGGTAGCTGTAGCTACATCGTAACTCATCCTCACCAGGGTGTGAATGTGTGTGTGAATCGATGAATGACTGATTGTGTTGTGAAGCGCCTTGGGGGGGTTGTAGAACCCTAAGAAGGCACTATACAAATACAGGCCATTTCCCATTTATTCTTCTGTTCTGTTACCCAATATTCCATGTAGCTAATCCATCTTACTTAACCCTTTGATACATAATGGTCACTACAGTGGACAGGTACTCAAAATTGTTATTTCTTTATTTTTGCTATTAAGCACAGCTGTTGAAGACTTTATTGCATTTGAGCCCCTCCATTTGGACTTCAGTAAGTCAAGCCAACATATTCCATGTTCAGAATGCACGCTGTCCACTGAGATGGACATGTAATAAATTATTTGTAAATTAACAAAATGTTACAAAAAATATTTGTTGAAATTTGTTTCATTCACACCTAAAGATGAATGAAAAAAATTGTTTAAAAAATCTTGGTTGAAGATTTCATAATCCATGCATCAGAGGGTTAAAACCTGCTTCAGGCATAAGTTTGGTTTGGAAGAGATCTTACCTTACAGATTTGGTCTCTCAGAGAACCATTCTCATTAAACGGTCTGATGAGCAGAGCTGAGGACTCGCTGGTACTGAAGAACAACAACGGACAGAAATACGGACTCTGGAAAAGAAGATAAATGACAAAAGATGTGTAATCATCTCTAAGTGGTATTCTTCCACTTTAAGACCTTTACACAGAGCTGTCTAAATTAAAACAACATTTGGGATTACAGTTTACAACCATCCACCGAAAGTGACTGAAAAACCAGATTGCGGGTACAAGCGGCTGGAATGAGTTTTCTCCACATGGTGGCAGGGCTCTCCCTTAGAGATGCAGTGAAAGGCTAGGTCATCCGGGAGGGACTCAGAGTAGACCTGCTGCTCCTCCACATCGAGAGGAACAAGCTGAGGGGGCTCGCGCATCTGGTCAGGATGCCTCCTGGACGCCTCTCTGGTGAGGTTTTCTGGGCACGTCCAACTGGGAGGAGACCCAAGGGAAGACCCAGGACATGTTGGAGGGACTATGTCCCTTGGCTGACCAGGGAACGCCTCGGGATGTCCACGGGGGAGATTGCCCAAGTAGCTGGGAGGAGGGACGTCTGGGCCTCTCGGCTAAAGCCTAATTTACGCACACACATTGACAGAGATGTTGTGCAATCAGACTTCTCCGTCACCTGGGGATTATTGCAAAACCTTTTCCAGCCAGGACAACACAGGGCGTAGCACTATCCTGAGTTATTTTGCCACCATTACAGTCATGTATGTAGTCCACAATAGTGTATATACTATTGTATTGACATTGTTTTAATGTATTTCCAAGACTTTTCAACACAGACAGATTTCTCCCTCATTCCCCTCCACGTCGACGGCTCGATTCTAAAAATTTGTCGACGCACCACGCCCACTTGTTGCATCCCCAGGAGTTTGTAAATAGAGGTGGAATCTGCCCGTTTTTCCTCTAGTTCGCCCTCTTCTCCACCTTCACGAACATCTCCGCCAAATACCGAAGACCCGGAACAACGTCCGTCCGCTACTAGATTCCTTTCGTGTTTTGCCCACCTTCGTCTCCCGGCAACGGACAACAACTTCCGGGGTCAAATGCGCTGCTTCGTCTCTACCGCAGATGTAGAAAATCACCGGAAGCGTTTCTCCCTTCATAAAGGAGCTTCTTTCAGACATTAGGAGAGCTGTTTTGGTGGTAGCAGTCTCCCCTCTGTGCTGGGCTGTTTGCTGTTGGGTATTTTTGGTTTATTTAAACTTGGTAACTTGAACTTAACGTTGGTAAAGCTACTGTTAGCATTTTCGCTAACAGCTTCTTGCGTTGGGATAAGCTGTTACGTTTTGGTTTAGAGTTCATCTTTTTTGAGGTGCAGATCTCCCTTTTATTACATTTAGAGTGTTGTGGGTTTTCGGTTTAGTTTAAAATATCACCTTGAGTTTGGTTTAACCACCCAGTTTAGAGTTTGGACCTTTGGAGATTCTTATTTTGGTCCAGAACCCTGTAATCTTTGCCCAGTGGGACATCCCTATTTATTTGTACTTTTGTTTTAATTCCCCACAGGCAGAATTAGTTTTATAATTCCCAACCTGTGGATGGAAAGTTTTATGTTTTTTTTGTAGTTGTAAATAAACCTGATCATCATTTTAACTTTTAAATCCCGTTATTGTCCCTTCCTTTTTGCACACGAGCCAAACTCCCCAGGAGGAGTTGTAACACCACTCGCCTCACGCACATAAGTGACCAAAACAAAGCAGCATGGAGACACTCCGTCTCCAACCACCTCTCAGGCAGCAGCCTGCACTCCCAAGTTCTACACGTCACCAGAACATAACACAATAAAAGCAGTGTTATACAAAATGGAAGGCCTGTAGTGTTTATTCTCTTACAGTAACAATTTATCAATTTTTTGAGGAATTTATTAGAGATTTTCTTGTTTTTATTAATTGTGCAATAAGAAAATAATCGCTAGATTAATCGTCTAAATAGTCATTAGAATAGTCGACTATTCGATAAAATAATTGTCAGAATAATCGTTTTAAAAATAATCGTTTACCCCCAGCCCTACTTGGAGCACGTCTCAGAACCACAGCTATGCGTGAAGATTCCTCTCACTGAAGCGAGTGTTTTCCAAACCCTGCCTCTCAGAGAGACTTGTCACTTAGAAAATGTCCCTGATGATAAAACTTTGGCTGAATAGCACTTGTTCCTGTCTCCAATGTGGCGATGCTGCGACGCATCCATGAGCCTGTCTGAGGAAAAAGTCCAGGGGCCTCATTTATAAAGCTTGCTTACGCACAAAACGGGGTTGGAAAACTGCGTGAGCAACTTCCCACGCAAACTTTGGAATTTAGAAAAGAAAACTTAGTGGAAAATTGACAATCTTTACATTTAGAATTGGCATACAGATAAAAATCTAAAGCACCTTACAGGCACAGGGGTGACACTGAAGCGCTGTACAGACATATATTAGTAATACCAGGAAATTACCCAATCAAGAATAAAAACAAATACTAAAATAGAAATAAAAAGAAATAAAAACGACACACAAAGTGCACCAATAAAAAAAAATACAAGTAAACTAACGGCCACGGGTAAAGACCAGATCAAATTAAAAAGTCTTTAGTCTGACCTTAAAAGCTGATGGTGAAGCACGCAAGTTAAAAGGTAACTCATTCCAGAGTTTCAGGCCTGCCACGGAAAAAGCCCCATCTCCTCTTGTCTTTAAACGGGTCCTAGGAACTCTGTGAGTAGGCTACGGTCTGAGCAGCGTGCCCATACGTGTGTGTGTGTATGGATGGATCAGTGTCTGCAAATATGCAGGAACCAGTCCATTTAATGATTTAAAAACCAGTTAAAGGACTTTAAAACGAATCCGGAAATCCACAGGCAGCCAGTGCAAGGATTCCAAGACCGGGGGACACATGGTCACATTTGCTTTTTCCAGCCAAAAATTTAGCAGCTACGTTTTGTACTGGTTGCAGCCTTGCCAGAGTTGCTCTGTTCACTCCAAATAGGAGGGAATTACACTAGTCAATCCGTGTTGTAATAGAAGCATGGACTACTATTTCCAGGTGTTATCTTGTCAGGAATGGTTTTATTTTAGCTAAACGACACAGATGATAAAAAGAAGTGGACACGATTCCAATTAAATAGGCATCAAAACCCAAGGCATTGTCAAATTTAACGCCAAGGTTTGTGACAGCTGTCTTTACCTTTGAATTAAATGGCCCACAGTTAAGTGAGGTGGTATCAATGCAGCCATTAAGTCCACATAGGACTGCCTCTGTCTTGTCCTCACTGAGGCATTTACCAACAACCACCTCTTCACCTCAGACTGGCAGTCCATTAGGATGTCCACCGATTTGCCATGTTAAGTTGGCAGTCATCAGCAAAAAAAAAAAAAAAAAAAGAAAAAAGAAAACTAATGTCAAAACAACAAAAAATATCCCCCAATGGGAGACTAAAGATCAAAAACAGAAGTGGTCCCAGCACAGAATCCTGGGGAACACTCCAGGGGAGTTGCAAGGAGGCAGATGAGAAACCACCCATTCTGACGCAGACTGTTTTGTTTGAAATAAATGATCTGAACCACTCCAGAGCCGAACCTGAGACACCCACATGCTGTCTGAGGCAGTCAATTAATACATTGTGATCCAACGCATCAAAGCAGCAGTGAGGTCAAGCAAAATGAGTAGGACAGACTCACCACGATCTGTGACCAGCAAAACAGCATTCATGACTAAAATAACACGCATTTTAATTGAATATTCATTCATTATTTTACAAGCACAAAGAGCCGCATGCGTGTTGCCGACCCCTGGTCTGTGGGAAGAGACTGGATGCCATTTTGTGCTGCCATGTGTGTCTCCACTGCCTCTAGAAACACTCCAAACATGAACAAAAACAATCCATTAATTTTCTGTCACCGTTTGGTTTCAGTAATAGCTGGGTGTTCACCTGAACAACTAACTGGACTGGTCTCACAACACGGACACACTGTACAGGAAGGGACACAGTGGGCTCTTATGCTTTAACCATTTGACTATTGGTTGGGCTGTATAAATCAGCTATACTACTGGTGCCTCCCTGATATTGGAGCTCCTCACCTCATAACGACCAATCAGGGGATGGCTGGGCATAAACAGCAACAGCTAGTTTTCATTGGATATTAAAACTGCTGAGATGGCTTTGCTAGATCAGAGAACTATTACAACTAAAAAGAGTTACGATTCATCCCTTTTAATGTAAGCTTCTTTGATCACCGTGTCTGATGTCCTTGTGTGTTCATGAATGTCCTGATTCTGTAACCATTTCTACAATAATGGAACAAGAAACAGTTACTTCTAATGAATTATAACTTTAAAATACAAAATATGACCAGAAATAACATTTCTAGAATTGCAGCACTGAAGACTGATAACTCTAAAAGGTAGTGGAAAACCATATGTACATACAGAAATGCTGGTCAGCAGCTTCATGACTGACTGAAGGTCTTTGTCAGAAAGAACCTCATCAGGACCCAGATCCACCTAGACAGAGAAACAGAATCATCCTGAGCATAACACATAACCTGTGAAGTCTGCTGCTCAGTGAAAATGGGTTTCTGAACCATACAGAATAAAACAACATCTCACGTCCCCTTTTGACATGTCAGAATTAACACCAAACTAAGGTTGAAATGTTGCAAACACGTCAGCTTTGTATTCAACTCCATCCCATACATTTTCTTTCACTACAACCTGTCTATGGCAAACATTATTCTGTCACCATGACAACAAAATGCAACAAACTTTTGGCAGCAGGTGAAGGAGAGACCCAAAGACATTTTAATGCAGCATCAGAAGATTCTAGACCCACAGTGAGGACATACACAGTAAGTAGATAAATATATTTCACTGTAATATAAGTTGTTGGTAATTGAAAAAGAAGCTTGACATATTTTTCATGCTGACTACTATTTCAAGTACCCTTGGGGTTGGCTAAATGCCAATTCAATTCAAGTTTATTTATATAGCGTCAATCAGGATCAGCCGTCTCAAGGCACTTCACATGGTAGACATTCCAATAGAGGTCAGGTTTGCATCGAGTCACTGACTAGTGTCAGTCTTTACAGTAATCCTCATACTAAGCAAGCATGCAGCGACAGTGGAGAGGAAAACTCCCTTTTAACAGGAAGAAACCTCCAGAGGATACTGGCTCAGTATAAGCAGCCATCCACCATGACTCACTGGGGATGGAGAAGACAGAGCAGACGCACACACACACACACACACACACACACACACACACGCGCACGCGCGCGCACACACACACACACGCGCACACACACACACACACACACACACACACACACACACACACACACACACACACACACACACACACACACACACACACACACACACACACACACACACACACACACACACACACACACACACACACACACACACACACACACACACACACACACACACACACACACAGACGGATATTAAAAAATGGTCCAATCAGGATTTGATCCCCAGACTCCTCAGTGAGAGTCACATGCGCTAACCTGTCAGCCAAAGAGACATCCCCTTGGCCAAGTAGCCAGGACACATGATCAATCGAGTCACAGTGACAGGAAGCTCACACCGTCACAGATGCATGAGCTTGTTCTATGTGAACATGAAGCGGTACAAGTGATAATGCTGCTGGGATTCATAATTGTATCCTTCTCAGCAGCAGCACTGCAGGTCCTCTCCATGTCCAACATGTACGTAAGCAAGGTCCTTAGTTAACTTAAAGCTGCGCCCGTTTTCCCACTAAGGTTTCTTTTATAAATCCCAAAGTTTGCGTGGAAAGTTGATTACGCAGCATTCCGACCCCGTTTTGTGCGTAAGCAAGCTTTATAAATGAGGCCTCTGAACTGTAATGGAATGTTTACTGTGTGAAGGTCTTTGAGACGACTCTTGTTTAAATAGAAAGTTCAAACTTTTTATTTCCACCTGATTCACACCATAAAGTAGTTTGAAGTTGATAAGCGTAGCTAAGGGAAACATGTTTTACTCACCCAGCTCAGTAGATATCGCTCTTTAGGCTGCTCTTTGCTTTTGACTAGAAAATATTTCTTCCTGATTCTCCAACCTGAAAGACAAATATATCAGTAGGAAAAAAGATGGAAAAACATCTACTTTAAAAAAAGGAAACTATTTTTATTCTACTCCTTTGTGAGATTACGTACTGGAATTCTAAGATTTTGAAGTTTGTAAATTTGATTTTCCCATTCATTTATTTTCTGCATTGTTAATTCCTCAGTAGTCTCGTAGTCGTGGGGAGTTGGTGTCTTGTCTGCCCAAGTATGACAGATCTGAGGTTAAGTTTAAAGATATTTTAGGTTTGTCACAACTTGTGAATAATTAGGATTTTGCCCTGTGTATTTAGGATCTGCTATCCTAACGGCACATAGGTATGAGTAGCTAGCCAGCTAGCAAACAACAAAAATAAGCACCAGAATCTTCACAGAAGGCTTGCTTTCCTTAAATGAAGATCTTTATAAATGTTCTATTACCGTAACTACAAAATACAGAAACAGAAAAAATACATTACTGACTAATACACACATCTTAGTGTGGCTCTTAACCCATTAGTCTCGCTTAGCATGTTTACGCCCACGCTGCTTATATTTTATGAACCGACTAACGCGCACAAACATTCTCTAAACAAATTGATTCTTACAAAGACGAAGGTTCTCCAAGGCACAAATGTATAAACCAAAATCAGCGTGTTCATTATCCATTTATTGTTTTGTCTCAAAATATAAACACATCTAACCCTAACCTGGGATGGGGCAGAGGAAATGGAAACTACGTCAATGATAGGTCTGATGTTTATGTTTATTTATTTGGCAGACACTTTTATCCAAAGGAACTTACAATTTATAACCTATAGGGCATGTTGTGATTTGGGGGGAAACCGGAGTACCCGGAGGAAACCCACGCATACATGGGGAGAACACACAACTCCACGCAGAAAGGCCGCAGCAGAGTTTCGAACCTGCAACCTTCGTGTTGCGAGGCAACAATGCTAACCACTGCGCCACCATGCAGCGAGTGATGCGTCACCACTCACTCTTTCGTTTTTGGCACATACAACATTCCAAAGAATTTTTGTAAAAGCGAAGTCTCACTTTGATCCGTTTTCAAAACATTTTAACTTTTTAACAATTATTTACTTGCACAATTTACTAACTTGTATTAAACGTTTTCCCATCATCCATCCAACCATTTTTGACTTTTTATACAGAGTCGGGCGGGGGGCAGTAGCCTAAGCAGAGAGGCCCAGATTTTCCTCTTCCCAGCCACTTGGGCAAGCTCTTCCGGGGGAACCTCAAGGCATTCCCTGGCCAGCCATGAGACATAGTCCCTCCAGTGTGTCCTGGGTCTTCCTTTAGGTCTCCTCCCAGTTAGACATGCCCAGAAAACCTCACCAGGGAGGCGTCCAGGAGGCATCCTAACCAGATGACTGACCTCAACTGGCTCCTCTCAATGTGGAGGAGCAGAGGGTCTACTCCGAGCCCCTCCCGGATGACCGAGCTTCTCACCCTATCTCTAAGGGAGAGCCCAGCCACTCTTCTGAGAAAACTCATTTCGGCCACTTGTATCCGTGATCTCGTTCTTTCGGTCACTACCCAAAGCTCATGACCATAGGTGAGGGTAGGAACGTAGATCGACCGGTAAATCGAGTTTCGCCTTCTGGCTCAGCTCTCTCTTCACCATGACAGACCGGTACAATGCACGCATCACTGCAGATGCAGCACCAATCCACCTATTGATCTCACACTCCATCTTTTCCTCACTCGTGAACAAGACCCCGAGATACCTAAACCCCCCCACTTGGGGCAGGACCTCCTCCCTGACCTGAATGTTACCACTAAATGATAAATTAGGCACATTTTATCTGCTATGTTCTGGTTCTGCATCTGGCTTGTGACCCAGAGAGGTGCTCTGAGCTCCTCTCCACAGCTCCTCAGCGTGCTGATAGCTTGCTGTACTGATCATGGTGTCCAAGTCTGAGCTAATGCTCAGATGTTCTAATGGGAATCTTTTCTCGATTGATTTTGTTACCTCCTTGATGTTCTCTGTGCATAACGTTTAAAATGTCTGTGCACCTGCATGCGTCAGGGTAATCCCAGTCTGTCAGAATGAGCAGCCTTGAGATTTTTCCGTCAAAATTAATGGTCAAAACCAGAAAAAATCTGGTTAACGCAATCCCTGCCTACATTTAACTTATTTGCCTTCTTGTGGAGATAGCATGGCAGCCTTTCACACAACAAGAGTGTACCATTTACTGCAGGTTCATAAGCTTACAACAACTCAAACACAGCGCCTTGGGCTGTCATAAAGGCAGTGGAAGGCACTATATAAATAAAGTTTGGCTGAGCTTTTCCTGCCTCATTAACCATTTCACATTTACCAAGGCTACAAATGGCCCCACACACACTGGGGACAAACCCGAAAATGTAAGGAGGCATCAACTTGACGATTGTAATCGACATAAGCAACTGGCTAGTGCTCAAACTGGAACCATTGGATTTCCTTAAAATCCAAATGTGGAAATCTAAAGAATTTTTTTCAGCTGAGGTCTTAATGCTTCTTACATGTAATTCAAAGGAAATCTACCTCTCACCAGTAGCTTTAAGGAGTTTAGCTGGTTGTTATGGGTTGCTCACTTTGCCTTTCGTATACTGATAAAATTATGGGGGGGATATTAAGCTCTTTGTATACAGCATTTTTTCACACCTGCCTAAAATGTTTGCACAGTAGGTCATTATTGAAGCCAATAGGTTAACACCCCCACCCCACACACATTCAATAGTCTTACCAATATCTTTAAGTGGCTCCAGGACTTCCCACTTTGGATCTGACCTGAAGAACATGGAAACCTGCTGCAAGGCAAGTTCTGCAACAGAATGGTTCTGTTAGAGGTGGAGAAAATGACTGAAAACAAGAAATAACATCACTAAAAACAAACAAAAAAACAAGATAAATTAACCCTAACTAACCCCTTAAGAAGAAAAATGAAAATAAAGGTAAACATAAGATCCTGAAGAATACAGAACTGACAACAGAAAGAAGAGAAGCTAATAAGGAACAAGAGGATGAACAGGAGGTTCCACTAAAAGCCAGCTTGAACAGGTGAGTTTAAAGGAGACCACCGAGTTCACTGATTTCAGGCTCAGGGGGAGAGAGGTCTAGAGATTGGGGGCCACAGCAGTTAATGATCTGTCACCTTTGACCTTTAGCCTGGTGCTGCACAACCAGTAGGCTTTGGTCACTGGACCTCAGGGACCTGCTGGGGGTGTAAGGACTGAGAAGATCACCAATGTATGATGGTGCTCAGCTTGGCAATGTTCCTGAGATGGAAGACGGAAGAGCGAACAAGAGAACTGACATGAGAATCCAGGGTGAGAGCTGGGTCAAAGGTCACACCAAGGTTCCTGACAGAGAGTTTGGTGTGAGAAGCAAGCTGACCAAGAGAGTCTCAGACTTTGGGAACCAGCTTCTCACAAAGCTGAACATCAGCATAACATCATACCTAGGGCTGGGCGATATGGCCTAAAATCAATATCATGATATATTGAGGATTTCACCTCGACAACAATAAATGGACGATAACTAAAGGTATGCCCAGAAACAAAAGTTGTCCACTAGATGGGGCTGTCACATGTATTATGTTGAGTCACATTTTTACCCGACTCAAGGTAGTACAGCTTCTTAAAGGTACATGAACGTTGCCAACCTACACACCTTTTCATTTTTTTATTTTCAAATTCTTTTTTTTTAACATCGTTTATTCATGCTTGACATTGTTCTTTTCCATGTACAATATTAAATGCAGTAAAACACATACAATAAGAACTTTATGAACCGGCCGCGACTCTTATTAGAAAAAAAGTAAAAGTAAAAACAGAAATATGTTTGAAGACATTACTGCTTGATATTAAGATATCTGTCCCCTTCTTCTGTTCCCCTCATCTTGCGTCTCATCTCCTCGTCCCATCGGTGTGTGGTGGGTTCAAGGAGGTTCAAGTCCATCTGAAGTGGTTTATTGCTGGGGCCCACATCTTTTTAAACCTCTCCTCTCTTAAGTGTAATCTTGCGTGATTCTTCCATCTGGTGTATATCTCTTAGGTCCCCTTGCCAGACCTTAAGCCTCAGGGGTGTCACTTGTAACAAAGCCCTAGTTATCATCTTCTTTGCTACTAATTGGAATATTTGCAGGAGCTGAGCTTCTCTTCTATCCGGCCATCCCTGAAATGGTAGGCCTATGATAAAATATTTTGGATCAAGTGGTACCCATATTCCCAATATAGACCTTATCTCATTCTGTATCCCTAGACAAAAGGTTTTTAACTTCGGGCAATACCAGAAAATATGTAAATGGTCTCCTATCTGTTTACAACTTCTCCAACACAAATTGGTTTTTGACTTATCTCTTTAGAAAATTCATACTGGTGTATTAAAAAATCTCATTTTAACTTTCCAGTTAAACTCATTCCAAATTGGACTATTCGTAATCTTAAAATTTCTTTCACATGCCTCCTCCCAGTCTTTGTCATCAATTATTGTATTTATCTCTAATTCCCATTTTTGTTTGAAATCTAGCGCATCATCTGATAACTGTTGTTGTAGACACTTGTATATATTTAATATTATTTTCCCTTTTGTTTTTTCCTCCGCCGCCTTTGTCAACTAAAGTTCTATTGGTCTGGGGGTTGTCATTAAATCCTCCTTTTCCACCCTTGTTAAAACATAATCTCGTACTTGTAAAAACCGAAATAAGTAATTGGAGTCCAGGCCAAACTCGTTCTGCAACTGTCTAAAGGATTTTATCGTTTCCCCCCAAACAGCTGGTGTAACGTCACTACTCCCCTTTCTGGACATACTATAAATTTCCTATCCATTTTATTGGGGTCCATCATCTTAGAGATATTGTGATATTGTACCGGGATCCCCTATTTTTTTACTCACCCGCCTCCATATTCTTAGGGTATTCCGAATCCATTCATTCTTAATCTTCAAATTTCTCCATCTTTTTTGTTCTAGGAAGGGAGCTACATCTAGAGCCATTTCTTGACATGAGTTATTTTCTAATGTAATCCAATTTGTTTCCTCATCTTGCGCCACCCATTCTACTAATCCCCTTAATTGTGCTGCCCAGGATCCTCCTAAGGGTATAGAGCTGGTTCAGTGTTCCACGGCCGGGGCAAAAACCACATTGCTCCTCCTGAATCTGAGGTACAACAATCCGACAGACCCTCCTCTCCAGAACCCCTGAATAGACCCTACCAGGAAGGCTCAGGAGTGTGATCCCCTGTAGTTGGAACACACCCTGCGGTCCCCCTTTTTAAATAAGGGGACCACCACCCCGGTCTGCCAGTCCAGTGGGACTGCCCCCGATGTCCACGTGATACTGCAGAGCTGCGTCAGCCAACACAGCCCCACAACATCCAGAGCTTTAAGGAACTCCGGGCGGATCTCATCCACCCCGGAGCCTTGCCACAGAGGAGCTTTTTAACCACCTCAGTGACCTCAGCACCAGAGATTTGAGAGACCAACCCAAAGTCCCCAGACTCTGCTTCCTCACTAGAAGGTGGGATTGAGGAGGTCTTCGAAATATTCTGCCCATCGATCTACAATGTCCTGAGTAGAGGTCAGCAGCACCGTCCCCACTATAGATAGTGTTGGTAGCGCACTGCTTTCTCCCCCTGAGGCACCGGATGGTAGACCAGAATCTCCTCGAAGCCGTACGAAAGTCTTGCTCCATGGTCTCACCAAACTCCTCCAATGCCAGGTTTTTTTTCCTTGGCGACCACCCGAGCCGCTTTCCGCTTGGACTGCCGGTCCCCGTCAGCTGCCTCTGGAGTCCCACAGGCCAAAAAGACCTGATAGGACTCTTTCTTCAGCTTGACAGCATCCCTAACCGCTGGTGTCCAACAGCAGGTTCGGGGGTTGCCACCACGACAGGCACAGACGATCCTGCGACCACAGCTCCGGTCGGCCGCCTCAACAATGGAGGCACGGAACAGGGTCCATTCAGACTCAATGTCCTCTGCCTCCCCCGGAACATTTTGGAAGATCTGTTGGAGGTGCGAATTGAAGCTCCTTCTGACAGGAGACTCTGCCAGATGGTCCCAGCAGACCCTTGCAATACGTTTGGGCCTGCCTGGTCTGACCGGCATCCTCCCCCACCATCTGAGCCAACTCACCACCAGGTAGTGGTCAGTTGACAGCTCCGTCCTTCTCTTCACCCGAGTGTCCAAGACATGCGGCCACAGGTCAGATAAAACAACAACAAAGTCGATCATCGAGCTGCGGCCTAAGGTATCCTGGTGCCAAGAGCACATATGGACACCTTTATGTCTTAACATGGTGTTCATTATGGACAATCCATGACTGGCACAGAAGTCCAATAACAAAACACCACTCGAATTCAGATCAAGGGGGCCGTTCCTCCCAACCACACCTCTCCAGGTCTCACTGTCGTTGCCCACGTGAGCGTTAAAGTCCCCCAGCAGAACTAGGGAGTCACCGGAAGGAACACCTTCCAGCACCCCCTCCAAGGTCTCCAAAAAGGGTGGGTAGTCTGAACTGTAGTTTGGTGCATAAGCACAGACCACAGTCAGAACCCGTCCCTCCACACGTAGGCGGAGGGAGGCTACCCTCTCATTCACTGGGATAAACCCCAACGTACAGGCACCAAGATGGGGGGCAACTAGTATGCCCACCCCTGCTTGGCGCCTCTCAGTGGGAGCAACTCCAGAGTGGTAGAAAGTTCAACCTCTCTCAAGGAAACTGGTTCCAGAGCCAGAGCCATGTGTTGAGGTGAGTCCGACTATATCTAGTCGGAACCTCTCAACCTCACACACCAACTCAGGCTCCTTCCCCACCAGAGAGGTGACATTCCATGTGCCAAGAGCCAGCTTCTGTAGCCGAGGATCAGACCGCCAAGGTCCCCGCCCTCGACTACCACTCGTCACACACTGCACCCGACCCGTTTGGCCTCTCCCACGAGTGGTGAGCCCATGGGAAGGGGGACCTACGTTTCCTCTTCGGGCTGTGCCCGGCCGGGCTCCATGGGTGAAAGCCCGGCCACCAGGCGTTCGCCAACGTGCCCCACCTCCAGGGCTGGCTCCAGAGGGGGGCCCCAGTGACCCACGTCCGTGCGAGGGAACACTGGCTCCATTTATGTAATTCATCATAAGAGGTCTTCGGGCTGCTCTTTGTCTGATCCCTCACCTAGGACCTGCTTGCCATGGGTGACCCTACCAGAGGCAGAAAGCCTCAGACAACTTAGCTCCTAGGATCATTGAGACACTCAAACCCCTCCACCACCGTAAGGTGGCAGCCTATTATTATGGACATAAATTCCGGTGCATGATCTGAATTGTTATAGGTTTTATATGACAGTCTTAAATCATATATAAATCTTTTTTTGTTGTAAATAGCATATCAGTAATTGAGTAACTTTTATGTACTTTTTAAAATAATAAGTAGTCCCTTTCTTTAGGGTGCATTTTCCTCCATACATCCGTTAATCCTAGTTCTTCTATGTTATTCAGGACTTTTGCTTTTTTTAACCTCTGCTCCCGCTCCGCCGTCTGCCTGTCTATTTTAAGATTAATCACACAATTAAAGTCCCCTCCCACTATTAAGAATCCTTCCGCATATTTGGTTATCACATTCAAAATTTCTTTAAAAAAAAACACGTTGTCCTCATTGGGCACGTATAAATTTAAAATAGTTATTTTTGTCTCCCCTATTTAGCCTAAAGTCTCCTCCACTATTAATCCCAGTGTTTTGTGACAGAATCGCCACCCCCCTCTTACCTCCCTTTCCACATTCCGTACTTTAGACTTGACCTACCCAGTCTCTTTTCAATTTTCTGTGTTCCTCACT